TATTTGTTTGAAATTGGGAACTTAAATAAAAAGATATGTTGCTTTATTAATCAATTTCCTAAACAAAAAAATTAACATATACCTACATAAATGAACACAAAAATAACATATATGTATTCACACAATTAAATAACACACCATTTGAAAGCATCACATTATAAGGAAATTTGGTAAAATATAATTAGCAGTACTACGTCAACACTTACTGATGTATTTCATAACTTAAACCCACGTGACTGTATCCCCTAATTTCAGTTTGAAAACCAGTGATGGCATACTTTTTCGTATACTTCGCACTTCACACAATCGTTAAATAGGTTTAAGTAATCCGAATAACAATAATAACAGATTTCTGGTAATATATTATAAACACTCTGAACAGTTGTTACATACACGTTACGAATTAGAATAAAGTAAGCAGAAACATAAGTTGCAGACGCCAGTTGAACTTGTTGATGCGTATTGTCATAATATTATTACCTGTATAAAACTTTCTGTAAAATATTTATCGTAAGTAATATCATAAGGGCATTTAATTTTTCCGAAAAGAATCGAAAAAACACGTTGCTAAGTAATGTTTTAACAAAAAGCATGAGTGCTGGTGGCAACAAAAATCCGAGTCGAAGAGGAGGATTTTTGCACCTGCACGAATGCATTTTGTTAAAAAATATTACTTAGCATTGTGTTTTTTCGATTTTTTTCACAGGAAAAATTAGATGCCCGAATGGTATTTGACAAGACTATTTCATGAGTAACAGTTAACAATTAAAATATAAATTGCAATTTTTGGTGACAACAGCTGTCAAGTTTTGCCGCGGGTAAACTCGAAAAAACTGCTGACAGGTGCTGTCACACAGTTTTTTCACCTAGAAACCATTTGTAATTCAAAATTGCGCGTTTGTGATTGGTGGAAATTAAGACGAGGGAAATAGTCTTTGTTAAAATAATTACGAACAATGGTTTTCTACAAAAAATTAGTTATCTAAAATCTATCGAAAAATAATGGACGAATTTAAACTGGGAACCCAATTTTTCCGAATGTAGATTTAAACTATTAAATGTGTTTATTGTTTGGAAATAAAACCAGCACGTCAATTTTGTTCGGATATGTTAAATCCTAATGCCACAATTATCTTATAAAATTTCTTGTTTTTGGTCGATTGGCATAATGTTTCACTGGATTTCAGGAAGCGTATCTCCTGAAATGCAAATTGAAGCTTGATTTTAAACAATAATAGTAAAAGCAAATCTTTCGTGTTGAATTTTATCAACGGAAAACCATTTTCAGACCGACAAGGGAAACATCGTGAAAATCCTATCGATTGGCACTTTTTTGGCTTTCCTCAGAGATAAAGATTACATTTTTTTCTTTACTTTTCAAGAAAAATAACAGAAAACTTTTGACATAAAAGTCGTATATGTAAGCATGTTTAACAATTTGAATTTTTTGTTTGTATTTATAAAAATAATATACAGGATGATTCAAGAACATATTCCACTTTCACTTTTTACTGCAGTAAGCAGAGGATTTGTAAATAAGAATTTATGCTTCTGTCAAAATTTCCTTACCTTAGTCAAAAATGACTATTTATAAGTCATACTTGACTAATTGTGATAGCGAAAAAGCAGCCACCAATAATTATAATTATTCAATTTCTACCGAATGAAATAGTCAAAAATTGGTGGATTTAAATTTAAAAAAGTTTTGATCCCGACTAGACCAGGGCAGAAGCCTTTAAAAATGGTAAAAAGAGAAAAAAAATAACAGTAGGATGAAACCCATTGGAAAAGGAGGGAAATATAATAAAAATTAAAGGAAAAATAAATTACGGGCGATCTGAGTTCGGGAAGTGGGAGGGGGGGTTTTAAGGGTAAAAAATGGTTTATCTCGATTTCCGGCAAAACTACAAGTCCTATGGAAAAAAGTAAAATGTCAAAGTTGTAGGTAATAAAAAGATCTACAACTTTTGTATTTACAATTTTTTCACATAACCTCAAAATTTATGTGAAAAATTCAAAAAACCAAGTTTTTGGTTTTTTATTTTTATCTTTTTTAAAAAAAAAATTTTTCCACGAAATTTGGTGAAAACTTACCTTTTTATGTCCCAAATACACTGTAATTTATTTGATTTAAAATATTTATTATTTCGCCTTATTTTGACTTAATATCAAAAAAGCACCCTAATTTTCAATCGAAAATTCTCGCGTCAAAATATCAGCTTTTTTCAAAAAGTCGGTGTGCTTTTTGTTCGATGAACTCTCTACTTTCTGATGGTGTAAAAAAAATATACATTACTATGGTAAATGTTCTCAGAAAATACAAAAAATATTATAATGAATAACGTAATCAGAATGAAGTATCTAAATTCAATAGTATGATTTACATTTATTTTTATATTTTATGAGATTTTCTGACATAAATGTTATTAGAATTTAATAAATAAACTTTTTAACTAAAAAAATTGCAACAATCACATTTTTTTTATGAAATTGTACATAATGATTAAAATAAATTTTCGAATTCGAGTTTTTTTCGTTATTCATTATAATATTTTTTGCATTTTCTGAGAACATTTACCATAGTAATGTATATTTTTTTACACCATCAGAAAGTAGAGATTTCAACAAACAAAAAGCACACCGACTTTTTGAAAAAAGCTGATATTTTGACGCGAAAATTTTCGATTGAAAATTAGGGTGCTTTTTTGATATTAAGTCAAAATAAGGCGAAATAATAAATATTTCAAATCAAATAAATTACAGTGTATTTGGGACATAAAAAGGTAAGTTTTCACCAAATTTCGTGGAATTTTTTTTTGAAAAAGATAAAAATAAAAAACCAAAAACTTGGTTTTTTGAATTTTTCATATAAATTTTGAGGTTATGTAAAAAAAATTGTAATTACAAGAGTTGTAGATCCTTTTATTACCTACAACTTTGCCATTTAACTTTTTTCCATAGGACTTGTAGTTTTGCCGGAAATCGAGATAAACCATTTTTTACCCTTAAAACCCCCCCCCTCCCACTTCCCGAAGTCAGATCGCCCGTAATTTATTTTTCCTTTCATTTTTATTATATTCTTCTCCTTTTCCAATGGGTTTCATCCTACTGTTATTTTTTTTGGTTTCAAAAATTATCGACCCTGGTCTAGACGGGATTTGAACTCGGGTCTGTCGCTTGTCAAGCTGATGTCTAATCCCTGCGCCATTAATACTTTTATAAAATTTAGTTATATTTGTTTATAAATATTGTTAATCTTAAATTGGTCGAACTTTAACTATTTAAGAACGTTTTTACGACTCTTTTATTAGTAAACAATGCTGGTACTAATTCAAATAGTAAGAATTGAACCTTCACCTCGCCAAAGTGCGTTCCACCAACTTCAAATACCGACATACAACTGTTTCGACCTATATTGAGTCTCATCAGTGTCGGGCAACTAGTTGTAGTGGAACACACCCAAAACAAAGGACTACATGAGCTTATATACTAAGCTAGTAAGCCAACAGACACGAAATATAAGAACATCACGTGATCCACACCGTCTAACGACGTGGCCTTTGCCTTAATCAGTACATACCAAGATTGCACACGGCAAATTGTATCACAGATACTAATATGGCCTAAAGGAATCTACAATTAGCCTAACTGGGCTAAACATTAAGGTAAACATTCAATTTTCTTAGTTTCTTCAAGAAACTTTCTTGACCCATTACTGCACTGTTTAAAATATCTGTGGTTTAAAGAGGAATCTTAAAATGGTGTCAAAATCCAACACCAAGTGGTGTTAATATAACACCTAGGGTTATATATACTGTCAAAAAAAATCGGGACATTTTGTATGAATTTATCTTAATTACAAAATTGACATAATGATACAATGCAAGTTGTAAGTTTGACGTTACTTAATTATTGTTGTATGTGTCAGTTTTGTAATTAAGTTTAATTCACACAAAATGTCCCGATTTTTTTTGACAGAATCTGGTAACCCTAATAACACCATGAATTATGGTTGAAAATTTTATATACAGCAAACACCAAAACGGTGCATTTAACTATATTAATTTAGTTGACCCATAAGTATTTATTTTTGTATTTTTATCAACTTTGGGGTTAACAAAGATTAGTCTGACGGTACTAAACCAGATAGTTATTTTATTTTATTTTTAAATTGGTTAAATTAACCCAGAAAACTTTAGTGAAACCAACCCGCTGTATGGTTCAGTTTACTCTGTTAAAAAGATTAAAACAATTTGCCGTGCATTCCCGGTTGCATAGTGTGCACCGATCGCGGCAAAGGCGGTGTGGATCACGTGATGTTCTTAAATCTCGCCTCTGTTGACTTACATGAAGAGTATATAAGCTTAGGTAGTCCTTTGCTTTGGTGTGACACTACAAGTTGTTCGATACTAAAGAGACCTTAAATAGGTGGAAACAGCTGTCAATACTTGAAGTATTTTAAGTTAGTGAAACGCACTAAAAATATTATCTCTAGCGAGTTGAAGGTTCAATTTTCTGGCATAATACCACTGGTAATATACTAGTAATGCGTTAAGGAACTTTCTGTTTCCTTTTTTCTGTGTAGTATGATTTAATTTTACCAAAAACACATAATATTTAAAACCGAAAAGGAGTTCAATTTACACCAGGTAAAATTTATTTTAATACTGTGTGAAAGTTAAATTAACACTATTTTAGTATTTGAATTTACACCGGACCAACAAACCATATTTAACACTATTTTGGTTTGTATCGATATAGACCATGTATGGTGTTAATTTGGTGTTAAAATGGTCATGAAATTTTGAAAAGTGTGGTAATATTCATAAGAAAGAATAATTATTGAGCCCTTCACCTCGCCAATTCAAATAGTAGTTTAGTTGTGAAAGTAGCGAGAACAAAAAGATGACCATTTCGTATTTCTAACGCTTTCTTCCTTTGTTTCAGGTGCATGGGGGGCGATGGGCGCCGGGGCGACTGAGGGGGGGCTCCGGAGGCGAATGCCGCTACGAAGGGTGGGCGGGGGTGTGGCTGCTGGAGCCCAGGGGCCCGTTAGCATGGCCATGCGCTACTACCGCCTATGGATATACACGTGCAACACAGCGCTGCTGGCCGGGGCGCTCGCCTTCACCGGGGCGGCCGCCCGCACCCTGCTCTTCGACTTCCGCAGAAGCCTGATACCCTCGCTCGCGCTCTACCAGCCCTCCTTTCTCTATGCCTACTTGGCGCTGATGACGCAAGGCGGCGCTCTGCAGCTGCTAGGCTGCATGGCGGCGGTGAAGCTGAGCGAGAAGCTACTCAACGCCTATTGGCTCTTGCTGTTGGTGCTGCTGTTCGGCGATATCGTGCTGGGCGCGTTTTGGGCCTTCAGATTCGAACGTATTTGCCAGGAGTTGAAACCTGCTCTACGAATACGGTTTCAACAAGATTATGGGCAACACACCGAGATTACGGCCTTGTGGGATAGGCTGCAAAGTGAGGACAAGTGCTGCGGTGTCAATACCTCTAGAGAGTTAGTCGTAACGGGAAACAACACTGTACGATGGGAGATTCCGGACAGTTGCTGCATAGATCCTCCGAACATGAACAGCACTAGATGCGAAAACTTCTACACTACAGGATGCGACGAGATTCTACTAGCGTATTTAAGAAAAACCGCCTCTATCCTAGCGATACTCGGCTACTGCGTGCTAGCCTTTCTAAAAATGTGCTTCCTCGGCATTCTAAGGTACGAAATCCGCGAGATGATCCAAAAAATACGCATCCTGAAAGCGGAGCTAGATCTACCGAACGCGAACGGCGCGGTCCCTGGCACTCTCAGAGCGGAGAGCGCAGAAAGCGAAAGGGAATCCCTGTTGATTCGCCCCGAGAGCACGGCACTGCTTTCGTCGCCGCCGGCTCAAACGAAGAACCCGAACGGCAACAACAACTACGAGATGCGGGAGTACCGCAGCCACGACAACATATGACTAAAGTATCGCCTCGAGGGCCTTTTCAACCGCGGCCGGTGGGGTCGCGTGAAGAAGGGCCCTCTGGCTACGCCCCTGGAGGAGATCTTCAAGAGGAAACCGCGCGCGAAGGTACGCGACGACCCCTGCTGAGAGTGGGAGCTTGCCGCGACCGCGGAGACGATGGTGTAAAGTGATTTGAGCTCGCCGGCATATACATAAACTTTACTAGAGTAATTCATTTTAGCTTCCTAGATGCAGTCGACAAGTATACGATCTCTTTGAAATTGAGATGTTTCGATTATATATCTATTTTCTTAATTGATTAAGGGCCGGTTTATCAATCGTTGTTTAAGTTTCAGTTAGTCTATCTGACAGTTAAAGTCTATATCGATCGTTAAGAGATGGAGATTATCTGCCAGATAACTAAATGCAATTTTAAATGCACATTGATAAACCGGCCCTAAACTGACATTCAAAGGGGCTATACCAATATTTTACCGCAATGAATCGCCAAGTCACAATATCGGTTCTATAGGATAATGATAATTATGTGAAGTGTATATATAAAAAACGTTTCAACATGTGATAGACATTGCAATTTGAGTTATTGTGGCCTGACGATTTTATTTAAAGCTAACGCGGCAGTTATGACTCTTTGGCCAAAATTATGGTTTAACCAAATTTAAATCATCTTGATTTACAAAATTTGATTGATTTGTCTTGCCGCATATAGTGAATGAGCCTTATTATAGTATGATACTGTCCAGAAACTTCTGTCAAACAAACCACAAATTTCTAAGAAAGCTAGAGTTATTTTCTGTCACCATAATATACAGGATGTTTCACATTCGTGGTCCATTAAAAGATTCTGCGGAACGGCAAAAGATATCGATATCGAAATTTTTTAAGCATTTATAACACGGTTCAACCCAAATTTTCCTGCCATGAAAATTTTTAACAGATTTAAAAAATAATGGTTAAAAAAACGTACCCGTATTTCACCGTTTCACGAAATCACGTCATTTAAATTTTTTACACAGCCATTCTTATTATTTTAACCTAAACAGATATTTAATTCTCTATTTTGTTTAAATTATTTTTTTTCTTCAATTTTTTATGTTTTTACATAATACAAAAATATACTTAAAGAAAATAACAATATTTTTTTAAGCAAAAAAAATATTTCTGGTTTTAATTTTTGATTTTTTTTTTTTAATAAAACAACAGATTTGTATTTATCTTATATTAAATATATGTTTTAGTTTGACGATTATACATTACTTTAGAATCTATAGTGGTATCACAACCTTAAAAACACCACTTGAAATACAAGTTTTTTCACATTCATGGTCCATTGGAAGTTTCTGGGGAACAGAAAAAAATATAATACACGCTTTTATTCCATTTAAACCAATATTATATAATGCTTTAAAATCTATTTTTTTTTAATATTTTCAACAAAGTGCCCCATATATTTTTACATTTTTAAATTCTACATAAAATTCTGTTCCTTAGAAACTTTTAATGGACCACGAACGTAAAACACAATTTTAAAATAAATAAATAATTTCAATTGTTGTTATTCAGTGAATAAATTTTTCTTAAAAATATACAGTCTAGCTGTTATATTATGTGCCGAATACCGTGGATAATATTAAATTGAGTCGCACTTAAAAAAAATAAATGACGTGATCTGAAAAAACGTCTATTTTCAAAATCTATAGGAATTTTTCATGGGAGGGAAAATATCAAATTTTGTCGTACTCATATACGTACGTATATTTGTTATATGGTCGTACTGTGTAATCAGACTAATCCATTTTTGACTGGAAGTGACATTATCTTTTTTATTTTAAATAGAACACCCCATATATTTTTACATTTTTAAATTCTACATAAAATTTTGAGTAAAATGACTTAACTATGTCCTATACCACGATACACAAAAACGCATAACTACACTGCGCGTCAAAATTAACGCATAAGAAGTAAAAAAAATCTAACTCTAAAACGCCTTTACCAATCTTTATAAAATTTTGTATAAAAATACTTCAACTTATATCTCAGTTGAAGGGTTTTTCGAGAAAATATCTAGAAACTTCTAATGGACAACGAATGTGAAACACCCTGTACAGTAAAGTCGGAAAAAGGGCTGTTTTTTTGGGCTAGGTTATTATTTTGAATGAATCGTTTCTGTTGGGTATAAAAAAAGTTTTTGGTTTTGACTAAATTTAAAAACCGAATAACCAATAGAACGTGGCTAAAATACAGCAGGGGTAGCGCAAATAAAAATATTTTGTTATTTTTTTTAATAAAAAATTAATTGAAAAATTCATCCTGGTATAATTTTTTATTAAAACAAGTATTACTTGACATACCTCTGCATTTGAAAAAAATAGGGCTGGTTCAACCCTTAAGTCGTATGTTAGGTTATGATTAAGCTTTTATTACGACCCCGAAACGATTTATGCCAAAATATATCTATGGTCTATTTCTTTGAAAATCTGTATAATATCCACTTAAAACATGGGGCAAAATTTCATGCAGAGAAGAACAAGATTAATACAATAGACTGACTGAAGAAGATTGAAATAAGGTGGTGACGAAAAAATCGACAAAATTTCATGTAGAGAAGAACAAAATTAATACAATAGACTGACTGAAGAAGATTGAAATAAGGTGGTGACGAAAAAATCTCATTAAAATACAGTGTGTGCTTAAAAAGCGCGAAAAACAATTTTAAAGGACAGAACTTGTTTATATGAGCTTAATAAATAAACATTATTGATAGTGCCTCGCCTAACGCAAAGTGTATTTGGTCTTAAATTAAAATTATTATAATTATCGGTATATATTAATAAATGTTTTATGTAAGGTGTGTCAAAGTACTGGATAATTTTGACACATTTTGATAAATATCACAGATCATAAATATAAAGTATGCTAATGTCCCTAAGAATTTACGCCTTCTTAGGCGTCTTGTTACTGTGCCTATGTAGGTACTATGTTTTTTAAGATAAATGAACAATGGCAACCTTTAGCTAACGGAAAAAAGAACATGAGGGAGAAATTAATAAAATTACTTCTAAAAATAAACTACTTTAAATTGGGGAAATTCCATTTTGTATAAAATAAATATTGAATCCTTTTAAAAGGAGCAAATCCCGGGAACAAGTAATTGAAAGCCGTGTTTCGTTGATTTGCCTAATTATATTTAAATAAAGTATTATCTACTTTAAAAGACACATCCCTTTATTATCTTTTTGAATTATTTTCACTGTTACTGTAGATTTAGATTTTTTACTTAAACATAAAATATAAAAAATATTTAAATAATAATAATAATATTATAATATAAATACCTACATAATTAATTAATTAAATAAATTACAATGTCAAAGCTTTAACTGTGTATAATAATAGTAGACGGGCATACCTAACGTATAAAAATGGGTAAAACCTAGATAAAATGTCCAAATTATTTTTTTTAAATCATATCGTATAGCATAAGCTTTAATTATTTATGTATAATTATGAAGCATTTCTAAATTATATAGGAGCTACGATATTGGTGCTAAAGCTCTAGTGAAACATAGTAAAAAACCTATTTTAATCTCCAAATTTGCACATTTTATCATGTATTAACTTAAATCTGTAACTAAATGGGTACTGTCCTTATAACCTTCAATGAAATGTAATAGTACAAAACATTTTATATGAAACGTAGTGTTAAGCATCTAAAACTGTTTCATCTAATTTATAAAAGATATAAAATATAATTTAGATGATGTAAATATGAATATACATACATAAATGACCCAAAAACACCAATTAGACTTTAGTACTTAAAAAAATGTAAATATATTGGTACCTAAATAAAAACAAATAAGCACCCACCCAATATAATAAATAAAATATATGAAAGCTTTGTTAAAAGCATTTTGGGGTTTTGTTTTTTTTAAATATTATAACAAATATTTAAATTATAAAAGCTATTCAATTTTTAATCAATAATTGTAGACGGTCCTTTAAACCACATGTTAATTGACGTTTAAATAATAATGAATAGAGACCGGAAAAGTATTTAGTCAATTTTGATAGGCCATTCAAATTATTATTTTATCTTCTAACGTGACATTTAATAATTAATGTTTTTTCTTCTTCTCACCGCACAATTTTTTTATAATAAACGAACCAAAATTATCGATCTCTCATTTTCGTGTAGAAGATCCGGCAACAGTGGATTACGAATAAGTGATTATGTATTGGTGACTACCATAATTTTGTTTTTAAAGTAAATTTTTACAAAAAAACACAATTGTATTGTGCCTTTTTGTGACTTTATTGTGCGTTTTTACCTGCCTATTTTGCCTTTTTTAATTTTAAGTGCATAAAAGTCCGGTCTCTAATAATGACATATCGTATTGTCGAATTTGTATCGTTTTCTTTTAATTAAAAGAACACTACATATATCAAGACATATTTTGAGACATTTTTAGCTTTATAATTGATACAAATTTCAAAAACATCGAAACCTTGAAAAAGTTAAAATAAGTTACATACGAAAAATCCCAGTTAAAATTGTATTTTCTGGTCAGAATCGAAGGTTGCCATTGTACCTATAATCAAGAAGCCAGTGGAAATTGACAGTTATTTGTCCACCGAAACAACGACATAACATGGCCGACGATACAAATCGTCAAAAACAATAGGGAATAGAATAGAAAATCAGCATTATTATTTGTCTAAAACATACATATTTCTTTTGTCTAATAAAACACAAAACAAAATTAATTATCTAATTGATAGACCGATCACTTTAGTATTTATATGCCAAATTTGTTTATTTAGACAGCTGTATTTTATTGTCTGTATTATATAGAATGAATATGATATTATTTTCTTTCTGTATGCAATAAAATGTTACATGTTATGTTAATTGGTTGTCTATATTAATGTCTAGTTATATACAGTAAAAAATCACATGCAATTGAAATGGCAAACTCTTTAAAATACATAAGTGACCGAGCTATTGCATAACTATTGTATAACTCAACAGACCAAATGGAAAACTTTTTAAGCTTCCCGATTTTGATTTCACGGATTAGACGCGATATTATAGAGTTTATGTATTATTGTTGATAAGAGCTATTTCATGTTACCCACATGTGCAAGAGGATGTATATATCTATTTAATAAAAATGTATTGTTAGTAAATCGATCGTTTCACTTACCTTCAACTCTGACGTCTCCAAGGTGCAATTTATGTCCAAGTTTGAACCCCCTATAATAACCTAAAAAGATTTATTTATATTTAAAAAAAAAAGATTTCTGATCTTGTAAAACTTAAGCAGCAATTTATTTATTTGTTTGAAGTAATTAATCCTAAATGTTAAGGAATGGTATTTTATGTTATAGAAAGTTGTCATAATTAAGTTAACAATTTATATAGGTATTTTTTTTTAATTACAACACATTATACACAGTAAAAAAATATTTGTTAATTTTAGGTAACCAGATTTTATGTAAATCCAGGTCCATTTTTAAAAATGACCTTATTTTTACAAATTTTGTGTAGACCCAGTAACAAAAGTATTTGTTGGAAATTGGAAACCTAAATGAAAAGAATTTTGATAGGAAATTTTCCTTTATTGATCAATTTCCTAAACGCATACCTATAGTAGTATAGGTACTATAGTAGGTATTACTTACATGAATGAACACAAAAATAACATACACACAATTAAATAACACACCATTCTGAAATCACCAAATTATAATACCCACTTTACTTTATTCCCTAATTTCAGTATAAAAATCAGTGATGGCATCTTTTATCGGAATAACAACACAGAGAAAAGTAATCTCTTGATTTTACTATATCTGTCTTGACTCAAATAAATTATTTATTTCGATATGATACAAGAAGATATTTATTTAGTGGAAAACTTGGGTTTATTTGACTTTTTAAACTGATAACCATCAGTTGTTTAATACAAGTAAATATTTAGTTGACTTTTTATCTCAGGTTTAGTAGAATCTTACTTAAAGAAACAAAACATTTACTTGAAGTAAGTAATTCATTTTTTTAAATTAAATGTGAAGCTTTCTTAAAGAAACAAAATATTTACTTACATGAAGAAAACAATTTA